TCATGCTTTGCCTTTTCTGTATCCAGCGGTCCACGAGACTCAGCGACGTCTGTTCTTCTGTCCCAGATCACCGTCGATCAATGCAGCAACCGCTGTCACAGATTCCCTCATAAACTGATCATGAGGGATACGGAGTAGTAGCCTTCTCGTCAAGGCTCCGCGGCCGTGAGAGGCTGGCATTCGGTGCTTAGCTATGCCTAACTCGCACTCGACTGGGTAGAAACCGCTTAACCCCCAACCAACGATGTAGACGCGGCCGACCTTGGAGAGAACGAAACTACTCGAGTCTAATTGCATGTTCGCCAGGACAAATTTGGGGAATGACACGAGGTCGACTCCAGTTCCCTCCGGAAGACGGCGGTTGGCCTCGTCGACCAAGCTGTTCATGTACCGTTCGAATGCTGGCCCGTCCATACGACGCTGGATGTGATAGTTTTTCAACATCAACGCCCGGTAGCGACCTAACCCCATCGGCCCGGGATATCGAGCGGTGCTGGTTTGCATGAGTCGGACCGGCATAACAACTCGGTCGGCTATACTACCCTGTGCCCCTGAATTGAGGCGATGCCAGATGTCAACCAAGTTGGGGCCTTCGATGTGCTCCATGATGATGATTAGGTATCCGGTGACTGGATCTCGGAAAACATTGTGCACCTCAGGCACATGGTTTCTCAGTTGCGCTATCCCGTCCATGAAAAACAGCATGTCTGCCTCCGACTGGTAAACGCCTGGTCCCCACTTGGCCACCATGTTGGAGGCTATACGCGATATGCCGTTCTGAGTATCATGTCGAAAAGACAAGACTGGAGTTCGGCGCCAATCAAGAATGATTCTAGCAAGGTCACGGTCTGGGATATTACTCAACTCAACCGTGGACAAGTCTTGCTCGAGCGGGAAAGGGAATCTGTTGTCCAGACTTCTGACCTACGGGAGTCAGCACCCGGGCAGATAGCTAGCGAGATTACCTAGCTCACATCGCAGAATTTGAGCTCGTTCTCTCTTCTGCCATACTGAATGCTCGGGAGCCAACGTGGCGGATTTGGTACCGATGGGCAACGAAGTATGATGGATTTCGAATGATGCGAAGGGGCTGGGAACTCAATTCTGAGGGATGGGAGATAATATTCCGCTCGAGGCGAATGTATCGGCAGGGGAAGAGGACGGCGACCGGGATTAGACAAACTTCTCGAGCGGCGTAGATTTGGAGGGATACGAATATCGAGGATAGTCCCTCTCGTAGGCGCAGTATCAGTCATCTTGCCTCCTTTATCCGAGCTAATTGTTTCTTGGGCTGGACTAATCGTATCTTACTACGAAAATGATGTCTAGACGAGGTAGGTGGTAAATGATGAGTATTAGTGATACACATGATACCTAGGCCAAACCACCTAGAAAGTAATGAACATAGCCGCTTCTATGTGATCAGAGGTGGAGTTTAGAGCGAGCACTTGCTCGTCATAGCTCACCGTACTACTCCTACCTATCTCAACTTAGAAGTCTTAGCCTGCTCACGGTTGCGCGAGGGCTTTGCTTGAAGACTTTGCCTGAGGACCTCGCATTCTTATCTAGGGTTAATTGTCTAGGTGATTGTTGAACGGACAATTGCCTCAGTAGCATGCATGATCCAACAACCTATGGTCAACGATATGCTTGTATGCTTGAAGGCTTGTTAGAAAAGCTCTTCTATCTATATATAGCACCACATCTTGTTTGCGTTGAGAAGAACATTATGATATGTAATTTGGAAGGTGGCGAATGTAATGGATGTTCGTTGACTGTTTCTGTATTTGGAATGAATTACAATAGGAAAGAGAGTTCAAGTAATAAATCAACTCATGTTTGGTAAAGTAAGGGCGCAACCTTGAGTTTTAGTAAGTCGAACAAACAAGCAACTCAACAACCTTGAAAGCCACGTGATGATGTCTGGAATTGGAAGTTGGGGTCCTTGGCTTGGCCCTTCAGCCCTTCCTAGACGGCTTCAAGCTTTTCCGAGCCGTTCATCCCGTTCCCGCGGTTCTTATCCCAGCCCCCTGGTATCGGACCATCCGAATGCGGTTAGCCTACCGTCGCCATGTTTCTATTTTCTCTTTCTGTCATCAACATCCTCGTCCAATTGCGACATTCCATTTCTCTACGAGATTCGGTTCGCCCGGTATGAAAGGCTATTGACCCTACTGACCTCGCTAACTCCTCATATCGCCGCCTCTCGTATTTAATACGGAATCATCCTAACTAAGAACATCTTCCTAACTAACTACTACGAGGTACTGCTGGTAAGGCCAGGCTCGCTTGGCTCTCTCGTCAAACTAGGATCTTCGATTAAATGCCAATCATAGCCCTCTCGTTCTTTTTATACGCTACTTTCCATTCGATGTTCACAGCCACTGGCACGTAATGACGGAAGCGTCAGCAGCCTTATTTCACTGTCTCACAGGCCGACAGGCCGCGTTGGTTGTTATCTCGCGAGTCTAAGTCACATTTTGTCATGTTCCCCCGGTAATCAAAAAGTCCACAGCCACAGAGTACCTTGATCATCGGCCCTTCAGCCGCGTGAGTATATGTAATCCTTTTTCTTGTGATAGCCGCAATATACTACCATGTACAGTAAGTTATGGGTCATTCAGCTGGAAAATGTTGGCTATTACTGTGGCGTGCATAGGGCGAGAGAGCTGTAGAATGTCCCCGACTTCTGGCACCGTTCGTTCTAGTTTAGTGGGTATTCGTCCATCCATTGTTCTTCATATATTATGAATCACAGCTGCCCACCTCTCGCATGTAATCGACCTATTGCGGAACTCTCTTTTGACGTTTTCATTTGTTGATGTCTATCTTCCACATTATTAAGAGCTCGTCAAGAAGCATTCCACCACCTACGCAACTCACATAAATCCTTCCTACTCAATCTTCAACTACAAATCGACTCGCCTCATTCCAACCCTGCCCGACGCTCGCGTGGATTTCTCCAAACCACAGTGTAGCAACACGATTCGCGATGCAGTTCAACTTCATATTACCGATAGTGACGGTTCTCTCGTTATTAGGAGCTCTAGCTAATGCTTCTCCCATACGCTGTCCAGACGTATGTATACGTGTAGAAACTCCTCGAAGCATCAACTCATTACTAACAAAAAGCTAGTCAAAACGAGACTTGATCCTCAGCGGAACGATGCCAGCCGAAGAGTGTTGCAGCTATGGAGTCTGCAAGAACACAGTCGTTATCGCGATGGGACAAGCGGAAAAGCCGCTGAGCTCAGCAGTCCGCTACAACGAAAGACGATGATAACACGAGGATGGTGTTTTCCTAGACAACAGGGAGCACCTCGTCGGCGTCAACCAACCTTTCAACACATTATCGGCGTTTTTTCTAGTGGTTCTAGCATGGTCACGATGGGGACTCTGGCGTTCGGGGTGGGACACACACATATTCGGCCGGCAGAAAAAAAAGCCGTGGAACAAATTTGTTGGCGTCCAATGATTACTTACATGTAGCCCGATAAGATTTCGAGGGCTACATCTGCATTTGCATCTGCATACCGGCGGAGTTTGGGATGGATGGTGTTGCATGCGATATGGGTCTCGGCTTAGGACGACGTTACATACCGTTCTGTTCGAGAAAGAAAAACAATACCCCCCCCCCCCCCCAAAGCTGCCCAACAGTTCTGGAATTTGATATATTTGAGATGCCGTTTTGGTAGCTCACAATACTACTTCGAGGCTGAAATTTCACTAATTCACTTGATTGCTTCCGAGCTTGTTGAGACTATTGAATTATCACGGGGGCACCATGTTTAGTAAACGACTAGACTGATGAGTGAGAGGTCTTGACTGACTGGTGGATGCGTCTTAATGCCGCCGAGCCCAAGCGAATATAGCGTGGGGACCATTTAGCTGCTACTACTTTCTCGTATCTGCACTGACAGCAGATGCGGCTGTCTGATAATGCAGAGTGATCGCAGCCATCGTTTGTCGATGTCAGACCATAGTACCGTCCCGGATTAAAAGCTCCAGAACGTCAACAGCCACAGCATTTTCTGTTGTATGTTATCGCATTTCGGCTCGCCAGTGCAAATAACGGCGGAATCTCACTTTTGGTATGACCTTGTCTCTCGGCAACATACCGCGACTCTACGGATAATCAAAATTTAGTTCACCGATTATTCTAACCTCATTGCGATATCATCTCAAGTAAGCCGCCAGTGTGGGTCTTGAGTCAGATACCGTCGAGACATACATACCTAGGTACCTTCTAATACCCTGGAATGTGGTGATTAGTTCATTGCCAGCTTGTCTTGGCCCGTAGAATTTAAACGCGCAGTTCAAATATGTCGAGGCTTACACGCGCGATATGGCTTTGGGACAGAACTCCCGGCAGCACATCGTTCGATACGGGGAGAAGCTAGTAGCTGGTTCGCTCACGTCACACATCACCAGGCCTTCCGTGTCTTCAGCTTCGTAGCCCTATCAATTCGTGTTAGACCGTATTGGCTGCATCTCAAGCTCATCTACCGGCCTAGTCCTAGGGCGGATTAAGCACAGTAGTAGCAGATACGATATCGGGGTGGTGCTAGTATGACGTTCGTGCCACTCTTACACAGAAGCCCGTGTTGGGTTGGCTCTGAGCACCTCGCTTAGATCGCTAAGATAGCCGCTTAGAATATGTAGATGGACAAATCCTACCTAACGACCTCATGATAACTTAAGACCATATGGTTCTATGTTCTTTCTCCCCTCTCCTAGTGCCTATCTATACGAAGACCATACCGACGAAGTCCTTCACATCGCTAGAGCGAAGTCGAGCCGAGTTCCGTGATAGCTCGGACGCTATCTTTTTCAACGGAGACCCGTTTGCTTCTCATTAGACCGAGATATAAGACGCTAAGCAGACTCCACTCCGCCGATTAGGGCACGTCCATCTACTCAGCTCAACAAACAACGCACAAATAACTGAATATAACAAGCTGTCTTTCACGAACGGGTCTGATTGCAGTTCGATCACCAAGGGGCTTGTGGTTTAGTGGTATAATACTCCCTTAGCACGTGACTGACACACGGCATCTTCACGATGTTTGCTTGGGTCGTCTAGCATGGGAGTGGTCCGGGGTTCGATTCCCCGCGAGTCCAACGTTGGGAGGTTTGATTCCTCCTATACCATCACATATCTTTCATGGGCTCGTGGTTTAGTGGTATAATACTCCCTTAGCATACGTTGATCTACGATCATCGACAGCCTGGGAGTGGTCCGGGGTTCGATTCCCCGCGAGTCCATCATAGAGAGGTTAGAATCCTTCTATACCGCCTCAATTTTTTTTTCTTTTGCCCTAGTTGGTAGATACCAGATTCTAAGTAGGGCCTTGAGCATGCGTATGTGTACTTGAGCCGCTGCCTGATGGCTTGATCTGTCCGTGTAGCTCAGGAGCAGTCGTATAGCTAAGCGACAGGTAAGCGTCTTGACCCAACTGAGAATCCCACGGGGATGGGTTCCGGTATACACGAGATATGAGTATATCTTCACTCACATAGCTTAATTCAAAACCGGACCGTTCAAGAGACAGACAACGACCAACAAACAGTATGGGATGTCAACACGACAGTGTCGATGCTCCTATTTCCACAGCTCTCCATTCCAACTATCTCATCAGTTATCTACATTCATCCTACTCTATATACTGCCGCTCTCTCCGAGCCAACAAAGAACAGCAAACAACGCCTACAGGTGCTCATGCTTCTCGCTGTCCAATCGTCATAACTTCGTGCCTACCATATATGTACGCCTATGCATCAAACATGCATCACAGCACGACCAAATTAATGATCTTCAGCCCTTGGCTCTCGACGTGGTATCTCCGCCTCAACCCTAAGCTCCTCGTCGTCTTCAGCGCCTCGTACGCCTCGCGGCCGCCGCCCGTCATCAGCATGGAGATGGGGTGATGGCGGAGGATGCCCGCGGGAGTCTTCTGCGGCTCGTCGAGCAATGGCCGAATAAAATTAAACCCCCACGTGTCCTCCTCGTCCTCGTCCGCACCCTCCTTGTCGTCTGACACCACGATGACGAGCTGCAGCGCGTTTCGGTTCGGCGCGAACGACGGGATGTTCGCCAGCTTCTCCGAGAACGAGCACCCGCCGCGGCGCATCACGATCACGTGGTGCAACTTCGGTGCTGCATCTGGGAGCTTACCCTGACAGGCTTGGTCGGCGAAGAAGATGCGCTGCCAGGACAATGTTTCGATAAGATCAGGCGTGTGCGGGTTAGGAGCTTCGCGGACGTCGGGTAAGGGGGCGGAACCAGCCCCGACCGGAGTAATGGCGGGTAGCTCAACGTACTTATACTCAGGCTGGGGTGCCGGCACAGCGCCCAAAGTAGCAGCAGGCTCCCGCAGGGCAGACGTTATCTGTTGCAGGAACGAGCTGAACAAGTTGGTGGCGCCGACGTCTAAATCACTATCGACTTCGATAGTAGACTGCGTCTCGAAAGAAGGCTCCGGATTCACAGATGTCGAATTATTTTCTAGTGGCTCTTTTGGAATCTCGATCTGTAAGAGGATGTCGACTATGACGGAGTCGCGAACACGATGGAACAAAGGATCTGACATGTCCTCCAAGACATCACGGCTGATGAAAACCTTCTCGTCTCGTCCCAGGGGTAGGTTGCCAATGCTGAAGACTCTCCAAGCCCGTTCAGTCGTCTCCGGAGGCTCTTCCATAAGTAAGGCTAGCTTCAGGCCAGAGAGACTATTAATCGCAATGCCGTCGCTCCCCATACGAACGAGGTTTGCCCCGCCGAACATGATGTTGAAAGCACTACCTACAGACTGCTGAGTATTGGATGGAAACTCAATTATTGAGGTTTGGGCCTGTTTTGTCGCGGCACAGACTCCGTCCGTTGGCAGCATAGAAGGGGGCAGTGTCCAAGGGAAATAGGTGTAATTTTCCGTCCGTTTTTCTGTTAGCTGTGTCTGCGATTCTTGTCCACCCAACATCACAACTGGATCTTCTTGGCCGCCGTGTATGTTGGGGACCTGGTGAAGCCGAATTAGAGTTGCCGCATTGTAAAGGTCTGGCCTCGTAACAGTAGCAGAGCCGAACAACGGGGGAAGAACAGGTGGTTGAGGGCACGTAGTAGTAAAATGAGCGTCAAAGGAGGGCTGAACAGCCCTTTCCGATGACGATTTCTGTGTTCGACGAGGGGCTTTCCTCCGAGGGATAATCAATGGATGTCCTTCCGTAGTAAATACGTACGAAGCATCGAGCTTGTTGAGAGGGTGATCTGGGTCGAAGAGAAGATACAGGTACTTGGCAGTCTCTCCGAGGAAGAAACTCTCCATCCTGTCACTCTTCTCTCCGGTCCGCACGTCCTGTAGGCCAGACCAGCCGCATTTTGTCCAGCATCGCCTATTGATGTCCCGTAGAACCATTTCGCCTGCATAAAGGTACCAGGGGTCTTTGGTAGCACGGTAGATGTGGTAGGTAGATTCGATGAATTCTGGTCGGCCGGGCCACCATCCGAGTCCACCTTCGACATTACCGTCCCGGACAGACCATCGCTCCGGAAGTGCAGAGTAACGGGTCCACAGAGCAGTGTAAACTAGATGGGTCTCGATGGCTTCGTCAAGTTCCCCGGCAAGTGCTAACAAGCCGGAGTAATATGCGCCTAGACTGTCGATCCAGTATGCTTGCGGTGATCCGGTAGACATGTGTGCATTCACGTAGTGCGGGTGGTGGAGGCCAGAATAAAGATGCCGCTTGATTGCCGCGTGAGCATGGTGCCAAGCTTGTAGGAAAGAATCGGGAGAGTTGTCCTCGTCCGAAAGCGGTTGATAGAGCCGGTTAGGGTCAAGCCAGCTTCCGTCATAGAGTTGAGGCATCGTCCGATTAGGCAGTTCGTGACCTGATAGCAAGATATGTGTCTTGAGAGCATATTCAAAGAAGCTATCAATGCCCGCTCCTATACCAGAGAATCCTCCGATCCACTGTCCGCCTTCGGCATCCACACCAGCCCCGATAAGCCCAATGTTACTTCTTCTTGACCAGACTGCCCAGAAAGCCCTTTTAGCTGCTTGCTCAAATCGCGGGTCTCCAGTGAGGCGGCTCAATACTGTGAACTCGAGCACCAAACTGCCGGCTCCGGCACTGCAAGTCTCGGTGATCTCTGGCGAATCTTCGGGCTGTTTTGGATCCAGGCCGGCGTTCCCGTGTAGCGGCGAGTTGAGATAGAACGGGATCCCGTGACGAAGGTTGACACGTGGATAGGGTAACCCAGTCTGAGTATAGAAGGCCGGAAGCAAGCGTTGGGATAGATCCAAGGCAAGCCGCAACAGTTGTCCATCATACTTAAATCCATTCGGCCAGGGGATGGGATGTTTTTCAACATCGTTTTCCTCATTCCTAGCCCCCCTGCGTGGATCATAACCAGAAATGGGCAGCTCTCCAACAGCAAACAGATGGGCGCTGAGCAGCCCACCAACGCCCCTTATGACGGTCTCGAAAACTTGAACCTTGCTGTCAACATCAAAACCACGACCACGAGCTCCCTGACCTGACGGACCGGACCGCCCGTCGCCGTACTGTGCAACCAACGCGGCAATACCATCTTGAAAATCACTCAATGCTTTAGGACCGATATCTTCACTATCGGGCGGCGCAGAGGCAAGGATCGCTAGGGACGAGAGGCTGTCGATGAGGGTCAGGGAATAGTTCCCGAGGACATCATTAAGCGCAATGTTTCTTGGATTGAGGGGATCTCGAGTTAACGGAGTACAGGAAACGGGCCGTAACTGTAAATTATGAGCTAATGCACAAGCCTAGATACTCTGCGACATTTTTTCTTCTATTTCATACCTCGTCTTCAGGAAATGCGATTTTCATATAGTTATCGAACCCGTGATAGAACATGTCGACCGTCTCCCGCCTCAGTTGGGCGACGCGGCTGGGGCGCATCGCCTCTCCTAGACCTAACCATGACGACACTAAGAGCGCAACCAGCACAATCCACCTAGTTAAGGGGCCATGTTTCGTTGAGTTGTGCGAGGGCGCCAACATCCAACTGCCCATGCCGAGCAAGGGCATCACCGGCAGGAGAATGCAGAAGAAGGCATGTGTATGAAGGGGGGGATACGTCGGAGCGAATATCTTGGTGGTTAGCGAAAATTTCCTTTCCGCAACTCGAAACCAACAGAGAAAACGACAGGCAAGCTAAATGACAGAAAAGAGAAAAGAAAACAGGTGCTGCTGAGGATGTGAATATCCTTCCAAACTTGAAGCCAGCAACAATGCGGAGGCAGAATTAGAGCACGATCATCGAACGTTGATGCGAATCCATTGATTCCGCTATGCTGTCATTAAAGATTGACTAAACGGATTCTGGTTACTTCATGCACTAACAGGAGTTACTAATTAAGCGCTAGTTGATCTGATAACCTGTTTTGTACTCCTCTCCATTGGCGCGATCTGGACTGGCCTGAGGACACGTGCCAACGTCGGCATGCAGTTTCCTTATGTAACTCTATAGTTATCGATAAGGACTTGAAAGTATGCATGTCTTGTGCATGGTTGCACGTGTATAAAAATGCTAAGTTCAGTGTTATTGATAGGTACCTGAGTACATATTATGTAATTGTATTCATGTTGTCAAGTCTCATCTTCCACAACGCTATGATGCTCCCTTCTACAACTTCTACGCTGTACGACGATGCAGAGACCCGACGTCGAAATTACCTTCAGCATTCATATATGTACACCTCCTGTTGTACTGCTACAAGCTTCACAGTGTGTAGCTACATAGTTGCTTGAGCTTCTACGACCCTTACCACGACATGCTCTGCGTGGCGATCCCATGGCCTGTCCGCCTGTCTCACATTGTCAAGTATGCAAGGCATGTCCTTGCCAAACAGACTCCTACATATGTAGGGACCCGAAGTCTTATTTGAGAGGCAATACAACTGCTGAGCCACTGGTTGAGTTCAGTCCCCCACATGTCTAGCCATCTATCTGCATCCGTGGCTGCAGTAGCGGCTGAGACGCAGGTAGCTTGTCTAGACGTCTAATCTTGGGTTCCGAGAATTCAGGGACTTGATCATGCTATATCCAGGCAAACACACCAAGTCTAAAAGCGTCTAGGTAAGGAACTTTGCGGATTCCCGTCTCCTTGGACACAGAATGCACTTGGACTAATAGAGACACGAAAGTCTATCATCTCCCTTGCCTGTCCGCGTTCCTTGAAATTGATTGGCATATATAGGCGCTCTCTACGCTTAGCTGGGGCGACGTAA